GTACCCATGTATTGTACCACAGGACATATGTAAGTGCAGACAGGCAAATCTCATCCTATTCAGCTCATCAAGATTGAAGCTCACTAGTGAAACCACACACCGTCACTCACTCTATTCACAGGGACATTTGTGGATCCCTTGAGCATCAGCATGGCTTCTCTGTCCACTACCCCTGCCCAGATCCCAAGTGCTCTTACCTGGTCCATAGGTCTGCTACTTGCCAGCTGGTCAAGCTTGGTGTGTGCTGACAAGCACACTCATCTCATAGGCGCCCTGTGCTTGTGTTTCCTCCCAAATACCAGCATGGACCCCCTTGCCTGTCTGATACCTATGGTGGGTGAACTTTAGCTAAGGGCTAAACTCCAAGTGCTCGCACTCCTCCAGCAGAACAGGGGGGTAAAATAGGACAAGGAAGCATGTGGGTCACAATAGAGACAGAGAGGGTGCTTACCAGTTACTGTCACAGGAAAGCAGACTTGGAGAAAATTCATTTATTGCCAATTAAAATTGATTGAGGTAATGAAAAACAAACCTTAAACCGCCACCTTTCCTCCCTTTCTGTCCCAGGCTGAACTTCACTCTTTCCATCCTGATTCCTTTCCCCAACCCTAAGTGATGCGGGGAGGATGGCAGCAGTGCAGTTGGTACACAGTTATTCCCCTCTCTCCATCCTTGTTCAGGAGCTTCAAGGAAATAGTTGCTCCCCCATGGTCCTCTCCATTGGCTGCTGTGGGTGGTCAGAGGAGAAGTACATACAAGGAGGAACTCTTGGTTACTCACTGAAAAACTCACCAGGAAAAACTGGCTTTGTCAGGGAAGCAATATCACTGGACATAATACTACAGCTAGTAGTTCTACCTGGAAGTAAGCCACCTCTTAACCAAACATTGTGGCCTAATACAGTATACACTGATTTTAATAGTACATAAATAGGAATTAATCCCTGGGTGTCTGGTGCACTGACCTGCCTCTGCTGAAAGACATAGTTTGAAAGTTGCTTTTTCCACAGGAGCACAAATGCAGGATAATTGCAAAATGTGTAATATCATCAAACTGGGTCTAACTGTTAAGTGCCTGCTTATAGTACAGCATAATCCAGGTGAAATAGGAGCCTTCCTGCACCACACTGAGCTTTTTGTTTGCCTCATGTACTGCAGATTTACGCATGAATAACATTTCCAGCCTCTACCTGCAGTTCTGTGTTAGGGTTAGGATTTTGACTGATTCTACAGGTTGTTGGCAATGCTCCTAAGGTGCTACTTACTGTAACATTTGCCATCATTGCTGAATACTTGTCACTCTTGTAGGAAAGGAATGGGGTGGGGGAAGAGAGTGAGGGTCCTCTTGGATCATGTAGTTGAAATAAGGAGCAATTGTTTTTAGACAGTGAAGCTGTAATATGCTGGGAAAGCAGTACAGCACAGCTCCTGCTTCACCAACCTGTCTTGTGGCTCTGTGGGATTTATATGCCCTGCTCATACCCTCTGCTGAGTACCTGACTTGTCCATGCAGGCTCACTCTGGACAGGAGATGTAGGCACACTGCTGGAAAAGCGCAGCTCCCAAGTAGTTCTGAATCATTGTGCATATCTGGGTGTGATGACAGTAGCACCCCACACAGCTCGGCTCCAGAGCTTGCCTAACATGACAAGAAGCTGTTAAGTTATAAACACTCAGCTGTCCTGGGGTTGATGTGAGTGGCCTTAAGGCAAGATGTCTGTTGCCTGGTACAGGCAGCATGACTGGCATACTAAGTTAAAAGAGGAGCCATGGGACTGTACTGGCCATGGTACTTCATCTCAAGACAGCTCTAATAATAAGATATGTGTGTCTGTGTTGGTGAGACATGAAAGTATGTAGTGCCGTACCACAGGATACTCTTGCAAAATGTAGTGTGAATGTGGCTATTGTGCTCAAAAGGAGGCTGGGACTTATCCAGTATGGAAGGGACAGGGACATGCCTTCCAGCCTGGACACTGACATGGTATTCTCAACAAAGTCAGTGAATATGTAGCCAAGGTAGAAATCTGTGTGGAGTTCTGTGCCTAAACTCCTACACAAGTGACAAAATCCATGTGTGGCTGCTTAGGTATGTCTGTGATACACATCCTAACTTTTATTTCCAAATACGCTCCTTGAACTCACTTGAAAAATAGCAGAATTATATTAGTGGTATCTCTTGAAATGGGTCAAATATGTAGCCAAGTATCAAAGCTGATGAAGCCAGAGAGCAATTAAGGAGAAGGGACTTGGACTGATGGTTCTGAGATCAGGCTTGAGCCAAGAGAAAATGGAGAATGTGAAATACTGGATTTTACTCTGTACTCCAGGGTCTGCCTCTGCATTTTCTTAAAACAAACAAAAAAGAGCAGCCAGGCTGCCATCCTGAAATGTGCAAGATTTGGACTCAAACCTTCTTGAATGGAGAAATGTTTAGATTTTGGCTTTTCTATATCCTTGACCAGTGCTCTAATAACATGTTAGGGCACAGTGTCTAAATTACCAAAGGGCAAAAGGAGGCACTTCTTATTAAGGGTTTTTTAACGAGTCGTTATTCTTAAGATGGAGGGAACATTGTTAGAAGAAGGCAAGTACGTACTTTGCCATGATTTGTTCTTCGGGTAATAAATTTAAATGATAAAACCATCAAGCACAAGACAAATGTTGATCAAATATAGGTGAGGTGTGATGAGGAACAAGGAATAAAAGAAATCTGTTATCAAAAATGGTTTTCAATAATTCTTGTCAATAATTAGAGTCACATTTGAGCAGGGAGCCCAGCAGCCAGTGCCCATATACATTTCATGTGCACAGATGCTCCTGTGTATTTTTTTCAAGCAGCTTGGCATGGGTCCATTATACTGCCCAGCTTTTAGTGGGAATATTGCCATAATGGGGGTTCTATAACATGACATAATAAAAGCAATGGATGAACACTGTGATTCCAGGACACAAATGATGTAGGAATGATAAAATAGATTGTGCTAGTTTAGACATCTTTTTTAAAAAGCTTACTGTAAAATGAAGCAAATAATAAGGTTGTTACCTGCTGAACTTAATAACAGGTATTACAGAAACTGTCTGGACTGAAACACTGTTTCTGCTTGAAAGAATGTACTGCTAGAGCAATGCTACCAACTGCTTTATTCAGAAGGTGACAGAGGTGTGCTAAGAAATACCAGAAACAGTAAGAGAAGAAAATGCAAAAAGTGAGTAACATCACTCATTTCTATGGAAACTCAAGGAGTGTTACCTCAGGGCTGGATGCAGAAACTTAATTTGTAAACACTACAAAGGACTGTTGCTTGGGGCAAGTAATCACAGACCCCAGAGGAAGAGAAAGAACGCTTGTTTTCTTTCCAGGCTGGCACCCAAAAAGCTGTTCTTCAATATTGACAGAGTTCAATATCCAAAAAAATGTGTTATGTTAATGCATAATTAAAAAAGGAGCTATATAAAATTAATATGTCTTCAAAAGGAAATTAAAAGGAGCTATTGAAAGATTAGAAGCTTTCCAGGCACAAGGAGCGTTTTTAAAAGTAACAGTACATATATAAGGTATTCCCCAAAATGCCACCTGTGAGAAAACATCCTTTTGCAGCCCCCAACATGGTATTTTAAAGAAAGGTCAATACCAACCCTTTTTAACCAAAGATGAGAAGGAAGCCACCTAAAAAAAATCTATGAAGCTGATTAGTAATGGAGATATGAAAGGACCTCTTTTCTCAAGCAATCTAATGGCTGTAAGAGACTTAACTGAAATCAGACTCGATCATGCGCTGTCTCAAAGATGAGTGTGGGGAGCTGAGGTCCACTATATCCAAGATGGCTGTAAGGAGCTGAGATGGGACTCCACCATCCATTCCCTGAGAGATGGGTGCGAGGAGCTGAGATAAGACTCCACCATCAAGGATTGGTGTAGGGAATTGCTGCCCGTTATGTCAAGGATTGCTGACAGACATGTGCAGTTGAAGAGCTGGCTGCAAGATCAGCAAAACTGGATGCACGTGATCCACCAGGAACATGCAGTACGTGACAGTAAGAACAGAGGTACTCCTCCCAGCACAAAATAAAAGGGGAAAAAGTTAATCACCATTCTGGCCACCCATCTCTGATGAGGACTATGGACCCTGGGGGACACCCACCACTGAAGATGATGACTATGGACCCACAGTGGTGACTATCTCTCTGCACTCTCAGTGCTTGCTTGATTTCTATCTTTTTTTCCAATCTGTCCTATTGCTAGATTTTTGTATAATAATTTCATTTTTTATAATAATTATCTTTCTGTAATAATCATCTTTATAAAAGAAACTGATCAATTATGGTACTTGACTTCACTTGCATCTTAATTTCACTCTTGGGGTCACAAATCAAGTAAGTCAGATACTGGGTTTTATGCAGTCGGACTCTGGCAATGACACAGTAAAAAAAATGAAGTGCTTGCTTGCTTGCAGTGGAGTTCATTACAGGAGAAGCTACTGAAGAGTGGAGCTGGAGGAGTTGTCTCAGATCTAAGTTTAAAACAAATAATCCAAAAGATTTAGACTAGTATCTGAAACAGTAGTCAAACAGTATTCTACAGGGACCCATAAATTACAATGGAAATTGAGGCTGCAAAACTACAAACTGTGGAGTGTGCTGAAACTGGCTTGCTTGCAGTAGACATGCTGCTAAATGACCCACTAAGCAGAGTCAAAATGTCTTTTTGGTAGAGGAACATCATGACTCTGATCATTCAGTAAACATCACTGTGCTATTGTGTAAAAGATCCTTGATCTGCTCACTCCTGAATATTGTGTGTTGGACCTGCTATCTCAGAAAACAGTATAGTAAAAATGAAGGGATATAGTCTTAGGAAAAATTGGCTGATGTACTAGAAATCAATAAAATTGTGGCTGTTTTGGCAAAGGTGAGGTGAGAATGGATATTCTCTATTTTTTTCTAAAACATGAACAAGGGGGGAACCCAACTGAACCATTTGGAAGCAGTTTTAAAAACAAAACAAATAAACAGTTTGGTTGTGTAACTTGTTGCCACAAAAGTTTTCAAAACTGGAAGGATAAATAGATGCAAAGAATTGTGGTATAAATTCATGTAAGAAAGGTCAATAAAAGCTATTAAAAACAGTACTGTGCACATGGCTTTCAGCTCAGGAAATCTGTAGGACCCAGGTCATTGGAACTGGTAGCATATAGGTTAAAATAATCCATGGAAGTAGCATAGTTAACTTCTTTCTTATTTTTCCTAAGCATCTGCTACTCTAATCCTGTTAGGCACAAGAGAGTGGGCTGGGCAGACCTCTGATCTGGTGTATTTGATCAGTACTGTGATTGATACTGCTCTTTTTCTTCCAAAAATGAAGTCTTACTGGAAAATTGATAAACTGGACTCACATGAAAGTATCTAAAATACAAGTACAGTAGATACATTGGCAGAGTAGACACTGTCTTTTACCTGTTTGTTAAAAAAGAACATTGATGAAATCACATCCTAGCAGATGGTGTTAATTGTGTATTCCCTACTTTAACTGTTGTAAAAGGTTTTGCAAGAGCACCGAGAACTTGGATTCTGGTACTGTCCTACTAAATAATAGCTCGCTTAGTTGTGAGCAAGCCCTCCCTATGGAGTAATAACTCCCTAGTTCACCTATGGGCATAACACACCACATAGAGCCATGTGAACCAGAAAATGTGTTTTTGGAATACTTGTTCCTTGTGATGAGTAGTGGGACTATGTAAGGCAGCACCCAGAAAGACATTCCTGGGCATTTTGTTGTGCTAACAGCTATTGAAGTGCTGGGACTCACTTGCACCCTGCTTTTAGAGCTGGTGATGTTGAGCTGCTTTGGCAAAGCTGTTTTTCTTTTTATTTAATGCATCAGAAAGCCAAGAAAACAAGTAGATGTAAGAATGCATTTGGATTCCAGTGAACCTGCCTGGTACATCACTCTAGAAACAAAATTCCTGCTTACACACAGAATTTACAGAAAAGAAATTTGTTAAAACTGGTATGAAGCTGCCATGGTAAAATCCAGAAGGAAAATGCTTTGAATGTGATTGTCAGAGATTCATGTTTCCTGTTTTTCAAAATGGGACATGAGTTGAACGTGTTGTATGTTTCCTACAACTAGCAATTTTCTTTCTTTGAAATGTGTTAGAGGGAGGAGTCCAGAAGTGCTGTGGGAGGGACTAAAATTCATATTAAAGTTTTAGCATGAGAGGGAGAATTGTCAGAGTAGAAGGTTTCTTCTGAGGTTTTGCTTTCTTATTTTTTTTTTCCAATTTAGGATGATAAATATTCATGTTCAGATTCTTCTAACAATTCTTTTTTGGAATTCTGATTGTCAGATTATTCCCAGGATTGAAGAATGTGGACTTTCATGTTCTCAGGTAATCTCTTGCTTATTCCTATTTGCTACCTATTAATTTAGTAGTTGTAGGTTGCCAAAATAATAGTGAGAAAAGCAAGAAAGAAAAATGGAAGACTAATTCAGCTGTCCTGAACATTCACTTTATATTTCTGTCATTCTGAATCAAGTGTCCAAAGTGGCAAAAATGATTGTTAGGAAGGGAGTAAGAAATGTATCTTACAAAATTTCCAGCTGCTGTTGTTAGTACCTTTTAAATCTGTCCTTTGTATTTGAAAAAATTTACTAAGTTCGTATTCATTGCTTTGGAGAGCCAGTGTTTGCAAGAGCAGTGCTGCCAAAGAGATGAAGGAGGAAGGGATGGAAGGGTTCAGAAACTGCTAACTATGTTGGGAGTACATAATACTGACTTTCATGTGAAAAAAAAAATGAATTAAGCTTGAGAAAGCGTAAAAACTGGGTTTAATTTTGTGGGATGAATGGAACTGCAGTGTTAAATTAATTACTTATGTATGTGCATAAAGTGGAGTCTGAACCATATGCCATCTCTTTCATGTATTTGAAATTCGTATGTTTCCAAATATCCCCACAAAGGGGCAGTGTGGAGATATCCTACTTCTGTTGGCATTTTGAAACTGTAAGAATAATCTGAAAGATATATAAATAATAATAATAATAATAATGAATAAAATAATAGTGTACTTGACTTTTAGTCTTAGTTGAGAATGATAACTATGTACTTTCTACAGAGAAGCAGAATTGATGGCATGAAAGACAGTGGCTGTCTGTTCAGACTTCTTGAATATGCCAGTGTTTATGAGAGGCAATGAGGCATCCTAAAGTGGTACTACACAGATATTAAGTTAGTACATGTTTCAGCAAGTTATTCTATATTTTATATGTTTATCCTAGAAAATATCAAGAATAAAGATGCTTATAAAACACTAGGTTGAGGGACCCCTCCCTTGAAGTTGTTTAATATTCCCACATTTAAATTCTGTAGTGTCTATCTACTTAAATAATGTTTTCAGAATCATAAAGTATAGTCATAAGATGTTAATCTCTAGATGTGGCTGAGGACTTTTAAAGAATTTTAATGTACTTAACATTTATGAATGCAAACGTGCATTTTAAATAATTTATGCTCCTCAGTCTGCTGCAATGAGAGTTTAAAATAGAGATGATTAACCATTCTAATTTATCCCTCCACAGAGTGTGTGACTGTCAGGCTCAGCATGTGAAAAACAACACCACTCTTTTTACGGTGGGGCTCTCTCTAGCGGATAGGGTTTACCTCTGAGGACCTTAAACAGCATCTTTCCCTGTCATAGGCATGCATGTAAGAAGATTGATTCATTGGATGCTTAAGATATAGATTTGTCCTACAACATATTAAATGAATGTTGGATAAATGAGAAAGGTGTCGTATTGTTTGGTTTTTGTGGTTTGTATTTTTTTTTTTTTTGTCATTTTGTGGGATTTTTTGTTTGTTTGTTTTGTCTTGCTTTGCTTTAGTTTACAGGGGAAATACATTGTTTCCACTATAATGGAATCAATGAATCATCTGTGATGTTAAAGACAGGATTCAGTTCATGTTCTCTATGTGATGTTTTTGCTAGTTGTATTCTGTGGAATCTTGAACACATTAATGACTTTTTAAGACAAAAATGTTTTCTCACTGGAAACAACAATGATCTCAACAGGATAAATTACTGCCAGCACAGCATTTCAGTCTACTGCAGAGCATTTTAGCTACATGAAATTAGGAGTCTCACTACTAGCTTGGTAGAGAAAACTCCTTCCTTTTCCTTTGGAAGTAACTTCAATTTCCCTACAAAACTGACCACAATTTGTGGCTTCCATCCCATTCTTACCTGTGTTAGTTTGAAAGGGAGCTGTTTAACTTCCTCCATAATTTTGCCTCAATGGTCTTTATAGGGGCACTAACCAGGGTTTAAAATTTGTCTTTGTCTATGTGCAATATGTGTGCTGTTTTCAATGCCATGTTTTGTAGCAATTTGCTTAATGTGATAGTGAGATACTGTAATTTTAAAACCACCATAAGTTTTCTGTAGCTGCTATTGCTACAAGTATTACAGAAAATTGTTTTTTTATGAAGTTTTCTGATAAGTTTATATAAGTGGATTTCTCTTCTGCAGAGTCAACCCTGAGGTTGTGTGGCTCTTCATCAAGCAACAGGGGAATGAAAAGCTATTGATTTGCATTTTGCTACTTTTTTCGGACTGTGGGTGCTGTCAGAAGGTTTTGAGTAGCATTAATAACTAAAACCCTAGAGTTTGACCAGCAGATCAGATTTTAAGGTGGCTGTGTCTCCTGAATATTTGTAAGCAGTTTTGACCTCCTTGGCTACTCCACTTTGGTTATTCACTTTGAGTTGTTCATTCTATTAAGAGTAAAGCATGGGCTGCGAGAGGGAAATAGTGACACAACTGTTTTGAGGTATGTGACTTAAAAACCCTTCACTGATTAGATTTCGGATCTTATTATAGTTTTATGAGTCTTTCTTAGTTTAGCACATGTATTCAAAGACATCTTTGCATTGCCTTATACAAGGCAACATCCAGGTTTCATTACTATACCACAAGCTGTACTTCTGTTCAGTACACGAAAGGAAAAGACAAAAGAACATTGGACGTTTATGCAAGTAAATGAAAATTTAAACAGCATGAAAATATACAATTGTGGGTTGAGTTATGACAAAGGAACAACCAAGCTTTTATTATGCACTATGATTTATTTCTCCTTCCTTATTTTAATGGCTTGGCTTTAGAACTTGTGTGGTATTCTGGTATTCAAAGGTTAAATACAATGGGTTTGGTCTCTATGCCTCACCCAATAGAAAACACAGTTATCAACCAAGTTTCCCTGTAAAACCATAGGGGAATCCCAGCCTGCAATTGAAATTGGGTTTGTGCCCTACTCATTTTACAATCCGCATTGTTTGCAGGCTGTACACAAAGAAACAGGCTTACACCAAATTTGACTGAACAGCTGGTAAAGATCAAGAGCACTACATTTAAAAAGCTCTCCAGAAGACTATGAAATAGTATTTGTATTGTTTGCCATTAAATGTAGTAATGTTTCCAAAGTCCATGGATAAAGAAGGAAACCCAAAATGGAATCTGGGATTTCCCTGCAATTATAAAGGTTATTGGCAACAAATTCTTGATATAGTTGCTCCCTGTTCATGGTATTCACAGTTGATGTATGTGGTGTTTCTTTACTGGATATTTATGCCAGAGATCAGTCTATTGTTGCTGATTACTACACCCTGCAAAAACAGTGCAAAAACCAGCCCTTAGGCCACTAACTCAGCTGGCATAGATTGGCATACTTTGGCATTCTTACGGTAAGCAATTCGTATTTTGACAGTGATCCCAAGCCACTAAAAAATGGGCCTGATAAGCTAGGTGACATAATTCAGTTGTTCCCTGAAATATGTTTGAAAATCTATTTTCAGACCTAGAAAATCTATTTTCAGACCTGGCTTCCTCAGAACGAGTGAGAGAGATGCAGTGTGAAGTCCTGACATAGGACGATGATTCACCACAGACTTTTTTGTGCATTCATTGACATAGTTGATGACCAGAGGAGATGCATAGAAATATAAAACGTACTCTCTGCTAATATTTGTTGAGTATAATCCACAAGAACATGCACTACATAGAAAGCCTGGGTTTTGCACTCCTGCCTGTCACTGACTCACTTGTGTGGCCCTATTAAAGTAATTTCCTCTCTCCAGTTTTCACAAGTACAAAATAGTGCTGACCTTCCTGTGTGATGTCTTAATTACATGTTTTAGTTAAGTGCTTTGAATACTATGATTAAGTGTTAAGTACTCATTAGTCAAAACAATCATATTGAGTCACTGTATTAGAGTGATATTAACCCATTTGCTTAGATATCCCTGCTTGCCTTCTCTGCTGAGAGGACAGCTGCACTTCAGTGAGTTAAGGTGACTTATCTCTTGAACTGTGTTTTACATTTGCTCTTAAGGTCAGAAATAGCTTAACAATGATATAAGACACTTAACTTCCATGTTTCCTGCTATGTCCTATACCATCCCATTTCCTCACCCCCTGAGAAGAAAACAGCCCGTGACAGATACAAGCAGGGACTTACAAAATACTTCAATGTTCCTCATTATTAGAGCATCTACCAACACTTTCAGGAGTGGTGGAGATGGAGAAAGCCCTGCAAGTCCCAACTTGCAAAAAATGCAACAATAGCTCTTGTTTATTTTCTTTCTCACCTCTTCCTTCCTTGAGAGCTCTGGAGAAAAGTTAGGTTTGAAAGAGGTAATCCACTGGAGTAGCAGGAGCTGAGGCACTACAAGAAAGTCGTGGAAGCTGGGGTCACAAAATTAACAGGTGTTGGAACTGGACCTGACAAGGTATCCTGAAACTGAAACACAAGGCAGTGCTAGAATCTTCACCACCATCATATGTCACATAAATATGTGCAATCAGTATCCGTAGCAGGAAGTAGATTTAAAAAAAAACCAAACCAACAAAAAAGGGATATGTAAGCAGGCTCAGCAGGAGATGGGAGCAGGTGACCTTTATTATTGGCTGTGAATGTTAGCTCACAGATCTCTCTCAGCCCTGATCTTAAGGAGGGAAGATGTTCGTCAGCTCCATTTGAGCATACAGTGATGAATATGGAGATCTGGGAGTAGGTGCTTGCCACAGCTGCAGAATATTGTTATCTGACTGCTTTGCAGTTGGAAAGCTACTTGTAATTTGATGAAATCTAGGCTGACAAATCTTTTTTAGGAGTGGTAGTAACTATAATGAGACCATGTAGTGTGGCCTGGCTGGAATTCATGCAGTGAGGTTTAGGGTTAGCTTAATTTGTACATTTGCTGAAGCTGACAATGCTGTACCTGTTACTTTGTCATGTTTGTTTATACTATCCTGGTATTCCTCTCTTGCCAGAATGCCTATTCATGGGAGAGAACCAGGGATGGTAAAAAATGAGAAGGAACAAAAAGAGGGTTTA